TTCCTAGAGAGTAAAATTCTTTCTTAGAGGTAACGTATGTTATAATGAAGAATTAGTACAAGCAACTATACGTACTTAAATAATAATAATAATCACATTCATAAATGAATAATATTTATAAATTATGACTTAGCCTTTAAACATTCCATTGTTGAACACTGGCCTCCCCTTAGTGCGAGAGGAATGAGGCTAGTAATTTTATATAAATAGATTAATCAATAATTGATGCAAAATTTTCTATTTGATTATTAAAATTATATTTCAGTTAAAAAAAAACTTTAAATTAGCAAAGTGCAAGTCGGAGTGATATGAAAAAGTACGTATTATATGAAATATTTTTTTTCCTGTAAATTAGAAGTAAGACTCTATATTATGTAACATCCTTAACACTGCAAATTACTCCAAGGATATTTTTTTTATTTACAAAGCTCGCTTGCTCGCAAAAAATTAACTCACTACTGAGAAAATCATAGAACCTGATCCTCCACATAACAAAAGGTCTATCAAAATTAAAAAAGTCTAAGCAAAAATAATCAAAAATTCGTTTCCTAAAAGAATTTAATATTGGATTTTATCCAGTCAGCTAATGTTATCTATGTATAGATAAGATTTGTTAATCTACATGACGTCAACATAATATTATGAATATCCTGCTTCAGGAGGTGGGGGACGAAATGTATTTGTGTAGTGTATTTAACTAGTTGTTTAAATATATACTTAAAATAATGACAATAAAAGGGGAATGCTAGAACGGTACGTTACCAACCAGTATCCGGATAAACAATATTAGTATATTGATGGAATAATATTATAAAATACTTTTGAGATTACCTCTATACATTGGTATGTAGTGAAACGATTTTTAAGAAAAACGAAGTTTTTGCTTCTAATTATTAAGTACATAGAACAAAACAAGTTTTTTACTTAAATGTGGTATTGAACAAGGTCTTTATCCCATACGTGCATATTTTAACTAATTTATATCACTTATTTGGTACTAGCGACTCACCCTCGCTCCGCTCGGCTTCGTTCCTAGTTACGTTTTAACGTTTAGTATAATTTTCTCAGAGATGAGATATTTTCCCGTAGTAAAAAGTATCCTATATATTGACCCAGACAACCAGCTACCATCATACCAAATTTCATCAAAATCCCTCCAGTGGTTTTTCCGTGATGCGGTAACAGACAGACAGACAAAAGTTCTAAAAACTATAGATTCGGCCTCTGCATCGATAATAATGTCTATTTCAATAAGATTTTCCAAAAAATATTTAATGTACAGATTCGGCTTAGTTACAATTTTATTATATGTATAGATAACAATTTAACAATCTTGTAAGTATTTAAAAGTTAATCTATGGACAATTAGTTTTTTTTTTAATTTTAATTTATTATTTCTATAAAGAATGTTCTAACGTATGTTGCATGCTGGCGATTTTAAACTTGTTAAGTGTAAGTACATACTGCACCAATTCAATGTAACAACATATAATTGATTGTCGATTGATGTAATGCAGTTTAATTAAGATCAATTGCTTATCCCTTTGCTAACTGTCACTGAAATATTATTCGATAAAATTAACTGTACCTATAATTTGAAACAAAAGTATGGCTTTTGTTTCTATGGAGGCAGATTCCCATAAGGACGAAAATAGTAAATACATTCGTACGAGTACTCTAGTAAATTCTTTTTGGTAAATACTTATTGTTTTATTAAATATATGATTTATTTGAACAATTTGAGTTTGTTTATTTTGTTCCAATTATTATATATGTATGTACATCTTAGAGAATAGAAAATTATCACACAGATGAGGTTAAAATTTTGGACGCTTTACAAAATATTACGAGGTGAATATAAATAATGATTCATTTTGACGTAATAGGTTACTTATATTTTTAACGGTAAATAACGATATGTACATCTTTTTAAATTAAGTAGTTAAATAAAGCAACCATTGGCATTTTAAAGGCTTTTCTCGTAAATACATACTTATTTCTCCTTTTAAGAATCTGTCCTTGTAGGATAGTAGTGTTTATTGAAATAAAATAGCATTTCCATTTTTGTTACAAATAAACCGTAAAAACCGTAAAAGTAAAAAGAAACAATAACCCAGCTATTCAGTGTCACTAGAAGTGTTCCTAAAGAAAAGAACACTACTAAGAATTATTATAGCAAATAGAACATTCGAGAAGCTTCTTGACCCTAGTAATAATATATCATTATTTAATATTATAAAAATGACAACTAATTCGATAACCTATCATAGAATAAATAGAATAACCGTACTATTTTAGTGTATAGCTAGTTGATATATTAAATCGTGATAGCACAACAAATTGAACTTTAGAACTGAACTATAGACCTATCGGGTTACTTGAACATGAAATATGAAATATCATTAGTACCATACTATATCTCATAACTACTAAGACGGTAAATGAAAGTATGTAGCTATTGCGTAATAAATTAGTGATACTCGAATGATAATTGCCAAATATATCGAATATTCGATTAAGAGATTTTACTTTTATAAAATTAAATATGTTTTATTCAATTCAAATATCTTGTTAATGGCATCAAAGCCAGTTTAGCACAGATTACTTCGCTAATATCATGTAGAAAATATATTTTATCAACATTTACACATAAATCGGCGTGACAAGTGTCTGACAGGCATAGCCTACGGTGCCAGAGGTCGCGGGTACAATGCCACCACGTAACAACTGAAATATGTTCTTTCTGCTACTTATGCAAATATTACTTTTTAATATAATAAATATTACTATTATCTATACATATAATAAAATTGTAACTAAGCCGAATCTGTATATTAAATATTTTTTGGAAAATCTTATTGAAATAGACATTATTATCGATATAGATGCCGAATCTATAGTTTTTAGAATTTTTGTCGGTCTGTCTATCTGTTACCGCATCACGGAAAAACCACTGGAGGCATTTTCATGAAATTTGGTATGGTGTTAGCTGGTTATACGGGTCAACATATAGGATACTTTTTACCGCGAGAAAATATCTCATTTCTGAGAAAAAATACAAAAACTGCATTGCAAGAGTATACTAATTTGTAAAACCTAAGAATTTGGCTTTTGGTAATCTAAACGCGGGCGGAGCCGCGGGCAATGCTAGTTATAGCTATAATATAACGCGACATATGGATAGCTCAATCTAGATCTTCAAAACATTCTGCAATGAAAACTTTAAGTACATGCTCCTTATCAAGACTTAAATAAATCTGTTGAAATATTCATTAACATAACGGATTCGTTAAGTCATTTTCGATTATACGTGATCAAACACAAAACAAATGATTTCCTGAGATCGTTGATTTAAAAAATTATTGACGCTACGCGGAATAATATCGCGGTAGCGATACCTTCAAGCAAAAGTATATCTGTAGTAATCTTTAAAATTTTATTCAATTGAGAACAAAGAAGATAAAGATGAAAAAAAGAAGAATTATCAAAGAAGAAATTGAAGTATTGATAAATAATCACTTCGTCTCACCGTATATTATGGAAATATGACAACCGAAACAGTTACGTAAGTAAGTAAGTCTAGAAAATCTTTCTCTATATTATCTGTAAGGAAAAGAAGTTAATAAGGAAATCTGATGGATACCTATTTAAATTTATTCTAAGTTAATTTCTGACTCAGGTTTCTAGTAAGATAGTCAAGTTGACGTCATGCGTGACAATAGAATAGTAAATATATCGACTAAGAATAAATATTATGACAAATGTTTTAAAACATCTTCATTTGATTTAAAACAAAATATAATCAAAATGAGTAAATCCTTGTAAACTAAGATAGTGATAACATTGAATTATAAATTACTTATTCATAATAACACTAAATTAGGTTTATCGATTGATTAATTATAATACCTACTTATACCTACTAAAAAATATTTTTTTTTATATATAATATGTTTACTTCTTTATTTCGGATTTTATCGCAGTTTTATTTTGAGACTTTGTTCCCGATGTTTGGAATGCTGTACAGCAAACGGGAGACTAAAGTTTTTGATGTCTCATAATAAATTATTATATTTATGTAGTGATGACAGTTATTTCGTTCATTACTATATTATTAACTGCCTCGGTGGTGTAGTGGCTAGCATGTACGGCTGCACACCCGGAGGTCCTGTATTCGAGTCCCGGGTCGGGCCAAGTTTAGTTATTGAGTCTTCCTGTATAGTAAGTCTCAGTAACAGCCCGGAGTTGGGAAGTTGGCGGTGTTTCACCCCCGTGCCTCGGAAAGCACGTAAAGCCATCGGTCCTACGCCTTAACTCTCACCGGTCGTGTCGAGTGGTCGTCCCACCGAAGTATGAGAGTGATAGGAATAGAGAGTGCACTTGTGTCTGCGCATACACTTGAGCACTATAATATCTCCTGCGCAGTTGGCTTATCTCATTCAGATTGGCCGCCGTGGCCGGAATCGGCTAGGAGAACATCATTAATTATTACCAGATTGTACTACTTTTTTAAATGGTCATATCCTACAAAGGGCTTACTCCTTATTCGAAGGGGTTCGAAAATGTAGTTACTATATGATTTTTGATGATGCAACAACTATCGTTTGCACTGAATTAGACCTATTTCTATGTAATTTAAAGTAGGTTTCGTTAAATGATTTGAACGTTGAAGTATCAGAAAGAAATCTATTCATTAAGATTGCAATATGAACCTCGTAACGACAATTAATCAAGGACTTTCTCAAGTAACAGTTCTTTATTTATCTTTATGTGAGGGATTCAGTTACTAATCTAAAATATATAGTTATTAATCTAAATTCGAAACAAATTAAAACAATATATAATTCTAACAAAGCACCTTGAATCTGGAGATTATATTTTATTTGAATCATATTTAAACCTATAAACCGGTTTTCATAGAAAGCCAAGACATAATTTTAATTAGCAAATAATAATTAAATTAAAATAGCAAATAAAATATTTGACAATTTACTACTTACCAAACGAATTTAACTTCAACTCCTAAGACATTCCACCACCTTCTTGCACCTCTGTAACAAGAAAAAAACTAAAATAAATAACATAATAATATGAAAAAACACCGATTTCTCTAAGTAAAGAAATAAGATAGCACGTCTTAAATCATTCGGCCATGCAATTTTATTAATCATTCAACAAAATTGCAGCTGCACATATGTCTGTCTTCAATAAAGAATACAATAAAAAATTGCTTCAATGATCTTATAGGAACTTAATCGAAGTACAATCCCTGCCTACAATGCATATAATATACAATGATCGTATCCGAAACAGCTGTTTGGAGATGTATTATTATTTAGCAGGTAAAAAGAATCGTGAAGCATCTTGCTAAAGGGAGTTTTACTGTTACAGCGTTAAGATTATTTTATGTTTTACCCTTGATATTTTATGATTAATATCAAATTAAGTTATTTAAATCATTAATGATTTCCATCTCTCTGCTTTTTACACTTTTTTTTGATTTGGAATATTATAGATATGGACATAATATAAATTTAATTCATACAAGCAATCGCTATATCAGAGTACTTAAATGTAAATTACAATCGTGGTTGACATTTCGGCCTCGATATCGAATCGTAGGTTATCGGAGAGATTGTGGAGTTTTATTGCTAAATGCGACCACAATATGGCGCACTACGAGAAACAGATTTAGTTTAAGATAAAAATGTTAATCTGCCTAATAAAATGTAAATAAAAAACATAATTATATTATGCAGACATTAAAAGTAGCCTATGTCACTCTCCGACTCAAATGATATCATTCGATTCAATTCTCTTGTTAATGACTTTAAAAAGTGTCAGTTGAGCACAGGTTACTTCGTCAATGTCACATAGAAAATAGATACCATTATGCGAAGAAGTACATGAATCATTTATACTCCTTTGTCACCAATTAGAAGGATACACTAACAAACACAATTTAGCATAAATTATATTACCTTTGTACCAACATTTGCTTCGCGTGGCAATCGAACCCGCGATCTTTAGCAAAGACAGTTCCAGTCAGAGTTTCATATCTATACTACTCCACTCCACTACGCCACGACAGTAATTAAGTTATATCACATCATCATTCTGGTTTCATTTTTTTGTGATTCATTGTCACCACAATGAGGTTAAGGTTGTATAGATTAAGAAATTTCTGCGTATCTGGTTTTAACGCTTTTACTTGAAAATCCGGTTTGTATATTTAGAATTTGTATAACATAAATATGTGAGGAAATACGTGAACAGCGATGGCGTATTGTGCAAATAGCCAGAACCAATGATAGAGAACGTTTGCCCAGAAAGCTAAGTAATAAAAAAATATCCTACTTTCAATTTTACCAGGACATTTTTTCAAACTTACTTAAAAAAATATTTCATAAATATTTCAATCCGACTTGATCATTTAAATAAGTGTAACAGGTATAGTTAAAGTAACAGTAAACGTAAACCGCTGCAAATACCGTACGGATTAACCAAAAACGGCTTGAAACTGCACTGGAATTTTATTACCCGTTTTAAGGCACGAATTTTCTCCTATTTTGACTGACTTATATACTGTTTATACTTATGTTGTTTATATGTTTATACTATATGATGGCTACAACTGCTAACTGATTTTATATATTTTTAATGGAGTTTGTCCCTATATAACATTTTAGAGCTATGTTATCCATACAAGAAGTGTTTTACATTTAAATAAACCACCTTAGAGGTGCAATTTTACAGTGTGGTTTGTACTTTTAAAGTGTGAAACAAAGATTTGAGTTATTTAACTATTACATGACACCCTGTGAATGCCACCAATCGCCATCTAAAATGGAGAATTATTATGTTGTGTCCTATTTAAACTGCGAACAAAAGGGCATCAAGACGAAGAAAATTTTTGACAAATAATTGAAAAATTGATGAATAAATAAAAAATATTATCTTACTTCTTACTAATATTATTGGATTTGGATGGATGTTTGTATTCCATTACGCCAGGGCTGATATGATCTGGATGATATTTGGTACAGAGATTAAAGCCTAATTTAACTTAATTTGTTTTTGTTTTTCCAGAGGCGAATCGGAGCGTAGCGAGGTTAAGCCACTAGTGTTATTATAATCGAATTAGAAAACGCATTCAAGACCCATATAGTTAAGCATTGTACTTTTGTCACGTTTATTTTAAAGCAAAACGTTTCATTCTAAGAATGAATTGTGAGAGCACAATGTACTCACGCCTGACATAGTTCAGACAATCAGATCAGATTCGTAGTCAAGTCTTACTGTATGAAGGAGTGAAAGTACAGGAGTGGGTGGGTGGCACTCACAAATTGTTATGCAAAACCGATCTCAGAGCTGTCATTCATAAGCTACTGAATCAAGTACATTAAAAACAATACATTTAATTAGATTTCTCTTGATGATTTTAACATAATCCATGGCGTGAAAGTTATTTATGCATTATTTTGCATATGATAACGTGTTTGATATCGACATTATTTAAAAGGTTTATTTAAAGTAACAAAATTCAAATAAACTTATCTCCTAGAAATAAATCAGATACTTAGTCTCAGCCAAGGTTCTATTAAATAAGAGTGCAAATTTTAACTCTTCTTTAGAAGGACCACGTAAAAACATACAAAGGAAAAAAGTCTTTGAAATATGACATTTACGAGTTAAAAGCTACATCTGATGTTTAATGACTACATCTAACTTTGGTCAAATAAACCGAATCACATGCGTAATGAAATTAGGTGCATCAACGTTCTAACATTCGAATCGTGCAAATCAGAATCGTTTGCGGTTGTCTGTACTTACGCATTAGTGCGTAAATTGCATGCGAGTAGAAGTAATCCCATCTGGCTAACATTCATTAGCTAGCGTGCAACTACAAGCTATCGTGGGAAACCTGTCCATAGCGAAACAAATTGATTTTATGTATATTTTGTCATTTATCTACTACGCGTCTTGGGGAGTCGTCAATCACTCGAAACATTCTTAAGTCTCGTCTTCCCTGTTCTACCTGATATTAGCGAAATAAATTGTATTAAGTAACTAGCTGACCCGGCAGATCTTGTTCTGTCAAATTAAGTGGTCCAGTAGCAGTTCCGATTAGAAAAATGATGTTTTACATTTTTCCGGGCATTTTTTTCCAATTTTTCTCTTCATAAGAACCTGCCTTAGACTTTAGTGAATATTTGAATAAAAAAAATAGCCGAATTAGTCCAGTGGTTCTCAAGTTTTGCGCCTAGCAACACATTTAGCTATTCATTTTTATTTATATAAATAGAATTCAATTGAATTTCATAAATTCTACTCCTAAATCGCGAAAAATATATACATGGTGGTATATAGATTTTGACTTCATACGGAATGCACAAATCCTAGAATAAGCAAGAAGAATGATTCCACAACATTAAACAGTAATTATGTGCAAGAATTCTATCGAGCTAACACAATAAGTCTCCAGTTTTTAAAAATAGATCTGCTATTTACCTTCTGTCAGTAATCCAATAACAATAATGAGGTAACAAAGTTATTTTTAAGTGCTGTGATAGAATAGTCACACTGGAATCCAAAGAAACTATTTCTGTTGTAATCTTGTAATAGTAGATATTTATAGGTCTAACTATATATGTGTATAATAATTAATTATTATCAATTAGCAAATTATAAATGATATTATTGTCGAATAATATATTTCAAGCGGTATAAGTCTTCAAATCTGATAAACGTGTTCGCAACAACAAGGTCAAGAGGGACGACAACCACAATGTTGACACATTGGACTAAACACATAGAAGCGTTTCTTTACCTTTCTGCTATCTCTTGGGAACTATAAAATGATAACATCGAAATTCCTACATAGACAACATTTAAATATGTATCGTTTTACGTAAATTGCCCCAGAATCGATTGCTATTTGTATAATTAGTCGCAAAACAAAGTTGTTATAAAAATAGATGGTATATATTGTAAAAGAAGATTAGCGTGTAGAAGACACCTTTCAAATGCTGGTGGGTGTGTTTGATTCACCTTACTAGTTGTGCACAAACATATTGTCCTCTGCATACGGATGCATGACAACATATACACAATATTTTTACTTCAGTTCCTTCGAAATTGTTGAGTCACCTACAAAATCAACATGCAAATTTTTAAATATGACATCATTTACTTAAACAATAGTGGCACAAATTTTAAATTTTAGTTTCCTTATAACAGATAGTTCAAAAACACCAAATACTTTCAACTAACCCAATACCGTATTATATTTAATTAGAGAGCAATCCCAACATTTGTTTTTGTGAGACATTCTCGGTCACAAAGCAAAAAGTCAACAGTCATTAACATTCTCTTAAAACCCTGACAGAGATTATGTATAATTGGCTTAAAACGCGCGAACCGAAGAAATTTTGAAGTAACCCAAAAAAAAAGGTCGCTAGGCCACATTGGACGGAAGAGAGTACAAAGGGCCCTCAGTGTCGGAGGTCTTGTAAACAAAATGTAAAGGAAACGATTTTTTGTAAGCGATTTAGAATGGGGCATCAGTGAGACGAGTTCAGGTAGGAATTCCTAGCGGTGAGTTCACATTGGTCGTACTCGATATTATCTCGGTAATCGTGGTTACATTTAAGCGCAAACGTTACTATCTCAGAGGCGACTGTTTGCACAAATAAGGACGACTTTACCGCCAGTATACGTGACTCCGTTATGTGTATAATACATTGCCTTTTCAAGGCTTTGTAAATTATATTACTGTTTATATTAAGAAACGTACAAGACTCATTATAAATGGAAATTCAACTTTTTTTTTCATCAATATCACCAATGAATCATTGCTACATTAGAAAAAAATATATATTGTCCACCACCTAAAAACCACATAAATTATGTATATTTAAAAATACAATTTTGTTTATTTAGTGCTTATTTAAAAATTCCCTTCACTGTGCCATTGAATCTAAAGAAGTGCTTCCAACAAGAATAACAACCCACTGTGCTATTCAAAGAAGGATCAAGAATAGGCTTCTTA